TACGCCACTATTATTTTAAACCCACCTACAATCAAATATAGGAATATGAAACTTCTCATAATCAAACACCCAAATGCACTCGATAACTCCAAAATATGACAGATTTGCATATTTGGGGTTTAAGTCCTTCACACTTGAAATGTGCATTGCTTTAGCTACCACAGTGACACCATTATTTTGCATAGTACTTTTATCATCTTGTTCTTTGGTATAAAAAATGTATCCATTAATTGTGTGTGCGCTATAAGAAAAAACATGCAAACTTGGATCATATGCTAAACATCTCAACCTTTTTGTTATTGAAACGGGATCTGAATAAAACTTTGAATAAATATGATCCTTGAACCATGGTATAAAACTTCGATTGTGCTATCGTACTATCCAGTTTTCATTTCTATTGGGATTCAAACCTCGGAGTTCATCCTTGTGCATTTCAACATACGGCTCAACCTCGTTGTCATTGTGCAAAACATACAAATGCACTTACTCCCGTTCAGCCCTTGATATTGCCACAATTTTATTACCAATTAACCATTTTCCTTCTTCTTTTTTTCGACAACATGAGATTTGGGGAGTCCAATGGATTGAACATTGGACAAATGTTCAGTACAAAACTGAATCGCTTCTTCGACAATGTATCGTTCAATAATACATCCCTCTGGTCGACTTCGGTTATTCACATACCCTTTTAATATTTTCATATAATATTCAACAGGGTACATCCATCTCATATAAGCTGGTCCACACAATTGTGTCTCTTTCACAAGATGAACAACTAGATGAACTATTATGTCAAAAAATGAGGGAGGAAAATACATTTCAAGCTGACACAAAGTAATAACTATTTCTTTTTGCAATCGATGACCTTACTACAAATGGACCTGAAGAAAAAACACAATTTAGTTATTGCGCTTCTTACTTTTTCTGGCAAAACTGAACGTATAACTATTTGTAGAAAATGTTCCATTATAACATGACAATCATGTATCTTTAAACTCTTTAACTCGAGGTCTTTCATAGACACAAGTCTTCTAATATCTGAAGAGTATCCTTCTAGATCTTTAACGTCACTTGGAAACTTACATAATATTTTTTTCTCCTTTCTAGATAGAGTATAAGTAGAAGGTGGTAGATATGTTTGTTTTCCTTTCTTCAAGGGTCCTAATTAATTTCTTATTCTCATCGCTATCAAGTCCTTTCTTACTTTAAGGTCATCCTTAGACTTTTCTTGTATATTGTGTAACGTACCAATAACACTTTCAAATACATTTTTTTCAATATGCATAACATCGAGAAAATTTCTTACATACAACGATTTTCAATATGGAAATTAAAAAAAAATTGACCTCTTCTTCCACCCACGTGTGACAATAGTATGTGCAAAAGGTTTGCCAAATTGAGTACTCACATCTTTCAGCTTTTAAAAAATTTGATCACTTGTCAATGTAGGTGGAGTTCTACCTTGTTCTTGATTTCCATTGAATTCTTTTTATCCATCCACGATAGTGATGATTGGAATTTAAGAATCTACGATGACCGAGAAAGACACTTTTTTGACAAAATTCCAATCGCGTCCAATTTGTGTTTTCTTCGTAAATAGGACACGCACATTGACCTTTAATACCCTGATAGGTTTTTGTATGCTGAAAAATCATTAATTGTACCAAACAACATCGCCCTTAAATTGAAACTTTCTTTCTTGTATCCATCATAAACCTCCACACTATTCTGCCACAAAATCTTTAAGTCTTCAATTAAAGGTGTCAAGTATACATCTATGTCATTCCCTGATTGTTTAGGCCCAAAAATTAACATAGATAACATCATGTACTTACGCTTCATACATAGCCATGGAGGTAGGTTATAAATCCTAATAACTACAGGCCATGTGGAATGTGAGATACTTTGCAGACCATGTGGGTTTATTCCATCAATAGATAATGTCAACTGAAGATTTCTCGCTTTTTCTCCAAAATCAGGATAATCATTGTCAATTCTCATCCACTGTGGTGAATTTTCCGGATGTCAAAACTTTCCAACTATAATTCTTTCATCTGCATGCCAAGTCAAGTGTTTTGCATCAGTTTCACTACGAAACATGCGTCTAAATCTCAGAATTATAGGAAAATACCATAAGACTTTTGCTCGAGACAATTTCTTCTTATATCGAGAGACACCGCATTTAAGGCACTCAGTCAAGGATACATATTCATTTCAAAATAAAATGCAATCATTTGGACAAGCATGTATCTTATCATAACTCATGCCAATATAGCACAACATTTTTTTGGCCTCATAGGTTTGATTGGAAAGAACATTATCATCTGGAAGCATCTATTTGATAAGTGATAATAACTCTGTGAAACTTTTATCTAACCATCCATTACCCGCCTTTAAGTTGTACAACTTTAATACGCAGACAATCTTGTGAATTTAGTGCAACCTTTATACAACGGTTTCTCTACATCGCTTACCAACCTCTTAAACATTTTAGGACAATCCTGAAGATCTTCTTCAAGTACTTCTGCAATCTCTTTGACTCGATCACAGTCGTATGTATCTGTGCCATTGTCCTTTGAAGCATAGGTCATATTATCCCCGGTTCAACATTCTTGTTACGTATCTCACCATGTAATATCCAACACGTATAACTTCAATCAATTCCATGCCTCCTTAAATGTGATTCCAACTGAACTGCATCAATTCAACGCCCATAACAGCAACTTAAGTAGGGACATGTGATCCGACTGGGGTCTTTGGCGTGTTCAATAGCAAACCTAGCGAATTTGATACCCTATCCTTGTACTCTTTTGAAAATCGATTGGAAGACATCCATTTTTCATCCATGGTTTTTACTAAGTAAGCTAAACAAAAACACTAATTATTCGCGCAACTATAGCTACCGAACAACTATAGAAAACGCGCAAATTCAATCACACTTAATGTTTTAACTCAAGTAAGTTACAAAAAATCATCAATTTGAGCGTTAATCAATCACCAAAATTATCAAATCCACATAAAAATTTACCAAAATAACAACTTTTCGTCACTTAAGTTCAAACAATCAACAACATCACAATATTCAACAAAATGCTCACGAATGTCATTCAAGCTTCAATCAGCAACATCATCAATTATAAAAAATAATTTCACAATGTCATCATTATTCACCATCTTCAACCTTAACTATTAACAATTAATTTAGTTATCATTTGCAATAAAAAAATTTGATCAAGACAAAATCATTATCACTATTCATCATCACTAACATTCAACATTAACTTATAAAATTATTAACACCAAAAATCAAAAGAAAATCACCACAAATGTCACTATTCATCATCTTGAACCTTACTACTAAAATGGCATTCAAACTTTCATTGAAGTCAAATAACAACAACATCACAATGTAAACAAATAAACACATAAACAATTAAACAAATACCATGCAAATAACTTTGAAACTGAAGAAAATGAAGAAAATGAAGAAATACTTTCAACAATGGTGTCACGAGGTTGCTACGACAGTTCGAGATGATGAAGAAACGGAGGTTGGAGGTTGCTACGGTGATTCGAGATGATGAATGACGGTAGCACGGCTGGACGGAGGAAGAAACTGCGGTCGGAGGTCTTGTAGGGTTCGTATGTTCGTCTGAAAGTGAGAAAGTGAAACAGAATATGTCAGAAACAAAATAAGCATTCAGTTTTAATTTAAGAACACAGACCTATCGCAACTCTTTTTAAAAGCACTTTCTTCCCCCATATAGCAGCGATTTTCCTGAAAAAGTGCTTTCATATGTTAGCCCTTTAGCAGCGCTTTTGAAAAGCGATGTCTAAGGTGTGACCTAGACACCCCCTATATCAGCGATTTTGAAAAGTGTTGTCTAAGGTACCCCCTATAGCAGCGCTTTTTTAAAGCACTTTCCCCAAAAGCGCTTTCTATTGGTTACTCACTTATGACCTTTAGCAGCGAATTTTCCCTTGCTTTTTTTTATAAAATTTTTTTTGATCTTTTAGCAGCGCTTTTATGGAAAAGCTTTGTCTTTGTAGTGCTGGCAAAAACTACTTTTGACGTAGTGATAGGCTTCCTACGAGGCAAAACCTAACAGTTAGGAGAATAATCTCAAATATTCACGAGGTTGTGTGTATATTCTATTTTAGGGTAGTTGAAGATATATAGATAATTTATTTTTTGCGTGTCCTCGGATACGGAACATGTGGGGGAAGGTGGCATGTTGGATGAGAATTGAGTGGGACGTTAAGGCTAATAATTGTGATTCTTTATTATATTGGTTTTTGGTGTTGTTTAGGTGTTGCAACAAAACCTTTACTTATTTTATCTGGATATTGAATAGTTGGATTATTTGGTGGACTAGAAACCAAATTTTATATAATGACGCTATAACAAATAAGGGGTAAATGTTCCATAGAATTAGATGTTTGTTCTCCTACTAAGGTAAAATGCAACTTTTATGATTGATTTAAAAATTCAATTGACTTTTTATAAGCAGACTAATTTGGTGGATTTTCCTCAATTTTTAGAGATTATAGATTGTTAGTATTTTACATATGGGTTGAAGTATCTTTAATACTTTTTAAATATATTATCACTTATTAAAAAAAATGTATTTATGAGACATGTCCTATTTATATTAACATTATATATTTATTAAATGTTGATTTGATGGGGATTTCAGTCCCTCAATTAGTCTTCATGTAATCTTTTTTTTCTCTTTAGACTTATGTTCTCTTTGTACACAAAAAGAAAATTATTAAAATTTTAAGAGAAAATTTTTTTTATCAATCACAAATAGTTGTGTAGAATTACATATAAAGTAATTTGTTTTGAAAACTTCTCAAAGTTAAATAATTTAATAAATAATTAAATATGGTAAAATTAAATAACATTTTTTTTAATCAAAGGAAGAATATATTAATTCAAAAAAGTTAATACAAAATTAGGTGATCCTGGAGGATCCAACCCACCAAAAGGACTCAACTTACATCATAAAACTAACAAGATGCTTCCTAATTTTAAGGTTTTGCCACCCTCTATAGATCACATTATCTATAATGTTAGTATCCATGGTTGTATTATCTACACTGTTTCCAAAAATAATACTATTACGATAACCCCAGATGTTGTGGATGGTTTCAGCCACTAACATTTTCAAAACATCCACTTTCCAACCTTTTCCTTTTGTCATGTTACTGATCCAGATCAACTCTGCCTCCCAAGGTTGAGGTTCATGATATATGTTAAACCATTGGAGCACATTCTTCCATATGTGTCTTGTCCCTAGACAGCAAAAAAACAGATGATTCACCGTCTCCTCTTCGGTGTGGCATAACCTGCATGTGTTGTCTTTAATCATACCAAAACGCTTTAACCTATCCTTGGTTGCAAGTTTCCCATGACATGCTTGCCATAAACAAAACACTGCTCGCGGTCGGCTCTTATTGGATCTTATCAAGTTTCTCCAAACAACCCTTGTGCCATCATCAATCATTACTTTGTAAAACACCGACGCCTTAAACTTATGAGTGGTTAGAAGTTGATCCCATTCATTCCGTATTAAATCCATGATATCTCTTTGTTTCAAAATACCGCGCATGATCCAAGAGTTGTGATTTTTGGTAGCATAATTCATCACATGGTTCCCCTTTAGGTAGTGAATATGGATCCATTTCACCCAAAGAGTATCGGTTTTATTGCACAGATTCCATAAACACTTCAAAAGCAATACATTATTCCAAATCTGCAGATTTATCAGGTTCAGCCCACCCTGCGCTGCAGGGCAGCAAGTGCGTTTCCATGCCACATGGCACTTTCTGCTCACCGTATCCTTACCGGTCCAGATGAAACTGCGACATATGGAGTCAATTTTCCTAATCACAGATTTGGGCAAGGGAATACAATGCAACCAGTACTGAACCATTGCAGCAACTATACTTTTCACCAATTGAATTCTTCTGGCATAACTTAGAAGTTTAGATGACCAATGGTGAATTCTAGCCACAATTCTATCCACCAAGGGCATAAAATGGTTGATGTTTAATTTCTTGCCAGAGAGAGGTATTCCTAGGTATTTGAAAGGAAGTGTTCCTTCTTGGAAACCCGACAACTCTTTCATCATCCTTCTTTTCTCATTGTCCAGCCCTCCAAAATAAATCCTGCATTTGTTAGGGTTCATAATCAGCCCCGTGGAATTGGAGAAGTCCCTGAAAGTTCGAAGAATCATCTGCAATGATATGCAGTCGCCTCTGCAGAATAACAGTACATCGTCTGCAAAAGTGAGGTTTGTGATTTTCAGCTTTTCACATTTGGCATGATAGTTGAAATTAGGGTCTCTTTGCATTTTCACCAACATTCTGTTCATATATTCCATTATAAGAACAAAGAGCATAGGTGATAAAGGATCACCTTGCCGAATTCCCCTTTTAGCCTGTAGTATATCAGTATATTCCCCCATGATATTAAATCTGTATGAAACAGTGGTGATACCTAGCATAATCCATTGGATGAATTTGTTAGGGAATCCCATCTCCTTCATGATGCACTCTAAAGCCTTCCAATTAACCATATCATATGCTTTTTGCAGATCTAATTGCATCATGATTCTAGTTGTTCCTTCTTTCCTGGTGTAGCCTTTAAGCAATTCAGTAGCAAGCATGATGTGATTATGGATGTTCTGACCTGGTATGAAGGCTGCTTGATTATGGTTTACCACACTTGGAATGACAGTTCCTAGTCTGTCTGTCAGAATCTTGGAAATAATCTTATAGAAAATGGTGTAGACAGCTATAGGTCTGTAGTCTTTGATTTCACAAGCATCATGGTCTTTAGGAATCAAGGATACTACGGTAACGTTGAAAGCTTTGTATAGTTTACCTGTTTCAAAGTATTCCTTAACAGTTGCTATCACATCAGCTTTTATAATTGACCAACTGGCTTTGAAAATTTTGGCTCCATAACCACCCAGCCCAGGTGCTTTGAGGTCTCCAATTCCTTTAAGGGCTTTGGTAATGTCATTTTCTGATATGGGTATGGTAAGGTACTCCCTTTGGTTTATGTCAAGTTGTTTTCCCATCCTCATAGCCTTTATGTCGATATGATTAATGGTCTCAGCATCTTTGCCCATTAGGTTGCTGTAGAATTTAATCACTTCATCTTCAATGTCTGGTTTGATTGTTATCTGGCTGCCATCACTTTTCTTCAGGTTGCTAAGGCAGTTGGAGTAATGTCTGCTTTTGATAGCAGCATAAAAATACTGATTGTTGACATCTCCCTTCCTAATCCAGTCAATTTTAGCTCTTTGGTGTAGAATCTTCCATTCCATTTCATTCAGGGATATCACTGCTTCAGCCAGGTCTTTTGCTTTCCCAATTAAGTTGGTGTTCATTCTGTCATTCCTCAGTTGTTCTTGTGTTTCTTCTAGGATATTTCTAGCAGATATCAGTTTGGTTTTAATATCAGATAGAGGTTTGCTGAATTGCTTTAAACCATGCTTCAATCTCTTGAGTTTGTGCCAAAGAACAAACATTGGACTACCTCTAATATGGCCATCCGAATTCTTCTTTACCAAAGTATCATAACCTGGAAGCTCTATAATGCAGTTGCTAAATTTAAACTGTCTGGGGGGTTTCCTATGTTCTTGATTATATACCAGATAAAGCATGGCATGATCAGAGATATTAGGTGGGAGGAATTTTAGAGTAGTCTCCATGTTGGTGAGGAACCAATCAGTATTGCCTAAAACTCTATCAATTCTTGAGTAGATGGGACCAGTTGTTTGCTTATTGGACCATGTCAAATGATCTCCAATGCTATCCATTTCACTTAAACCTGTATGTTCCATCATTGTTGTCAGGTCTACATATTCTCTTTCAGTCACTAGATTTCCTCCTATTCTTTCATGGGATTTAGTTACATTGTTGTAATCTCCAATAACACACCAAGGCCCTTGGATGTTACCATATATGTGTTCTATATCTGTCCACAAGGTTTTCCTTTGGTTTAGTTGATTGTGAGCATAAACAACAGTTAGCCAGTGCTTGAAATTGCCACAAATATCATAGATGCCACAATGGATATATTGGTTGCTACTACGCAAGAACTTCACATTCACTCTGTTACTGTCCCACTGAATCCAAATTCTACCATTTGTATGGCCTTTGTAATTGTCAATGTGATTATCATATATCATCAGTTTCTCTCGAATGGTCTTAGCTTTAACTTCTTTAACTCTGGTTTCAATCAAAATAATAATAGTAGGTTTTAGTTCTTGGAGACGGGACTGAATCTCACGAATTTTGCCTACTTTATTGAGCCCCCTTATGTTCCATGAGACTAACATGGTTCAGGGTTTATGATCACTTGATGGTCATTCAAAACCTCAAGTGCATCGAAACCATTGTTACAGTTGATGTTGCTGTAAGTGTCAGCCATGATGTTTTTACCTTTATCTCGTACAGACTTTCGTGCTCTTGTCCAAGAATCCATTCCTGTTCCTGTTGTCTCCTCTCTTTCTGGTGATATAACAGGTGTTATGTTCGTGGAAGTTTCTGGTGGCTTAACAGGCATGGTGTTCGTGGGAATTTCTGGTGGCTTAACAGGCATGGCGTTCGTGGGAATTTCTGGTGGCTTGAGTTTTGTTTTCTATTGTTGTTTCTTCCCTCGATCTTCACATTTATGCCCCATTTTTTGACATGTTTCACAGAATGTTGGTCTCCATTCATACTTCACAGGCTGCATCATTATATCGCCTTCAACATTTCTAATGGCTATTTCATTAGTCAAGGGTTGTGTAATGTCTACCTCAATCAATAGTCTTGCATATGAGACACGAAGCTTATTTGCAGTGCATTCATCAGTCACCAACGGTTTGCCAATAGCACTTACTATTTTGCTGAGACTTTTGGCCCCCCATAGATGCAGGGGAAGTTGGGGAAGTTTGGTCCATATTGGTAAAGTTCTTAGCAGATCCTTCTTTAAGTTGAAACCAGTGTGTCATTCCTTCAATATCACGGGCATGTTCCGAATCGTGTATGGGTCTTTCATCATGACTGCTTCCTTGTCTTCCTGGGAGTTAAATCTGAGCAGAAAATAGTCGTCGTCGTGGTAATACAAATCTGGCATCTTCATGAAATTCCACATTCTCTGCATAAAGTTCTTCACCATGTTCATACTCAGGTCGCCCCCCACCACATAAAAGATTAGAGCATTATCCCAAAATTGTATTTCCGTTTCGATATCTTCTTGTTCAATATCAATTTCAATCACTCCATTGACAATCTTTGGCGCAACGTACTCTATTGCCATTCCTTTTGCAGGGTTCCAGTTGTCATTGATAACATCAACCCATGGTTTACGCTCTTCAGGTTGTGGTTGTGTCGGTGCTGTTAGGGTTTTCTTGTTCTCCTTCGCCATTGTGTTTGTCATATCTTTGTCTTCTCCAGCGGTAGTTCTTGGTTCAATCTTAGGGGTCTGAACATTAACAGGGGATTCATGCTCAGATGTCTTCAAGCTAGTGAGAATTTTCGGTGACGGTGGCACCGTGATTTTCGGCCGCCCTCGTCCCCTCTTTTTCTCCATTGTTGATTTTGAATTTTCAAAATTGATGAATATAAAAAATTAAATAACATTAATTGATTGGTTGGAGGTAAACTATCTAACTTTTAAAAATTGGTAATGAAGTTGTCACAAAATTTTAATATTAAAAATCATATTCATTTAGTATTGATCATTGTCATTAAAGTGAAAGATTAATTCTTTAATTAATCAAATATACATTTAAAAATAAATTATTAAAATTTATTGAAATTAGAATTTTAAAATTGAGATCTCTTTTAATCTTCTAATTTGTGTAAGGACAACTGTTTTTTTGGCTGTAAATCATAATATTAATTTTATTTGATGATACAATTCATCAAATTTTTGTGTTGGATGCTGAATCAAACCCAACAAATTTTGGAAAAAAAATTTCGGCTCATGAGTATCATATATTTTAGTCTTCTTTAATCGGCTTAGGCTTCACAATTAGGATTTCATTGATCATTCTATCAAAAACTTTGTAAATTCTTTCTTCAGACTTTAGTGTAAGTTCTCTTTTAAAAAGACCTTTTTAGATTAACCAATCAACTCATCTGTTCATTTCGTATATTATACGTACAAATATCAAAAACATATTAATCTTAGAACTTGGTGAATTTTTTTCTTATTGGATGTTTTTTTGACATAGCATCTATTTGTGCATGAGCTCGTCTGGTTGCTCGAACAAAACCGTTGAACAAGTTAGTTATAATCCATTAATTTTGGTAAACAAAACTTTTTAAATTTTGGCTAAGGTTTGTATTTTGTACATTAAAATAAAAAAGTTACTAAAGTGACCTTGTTTATGGATATTATTTATAACAAATGCGAAATATTTTTTTAGCGGGTGTTTATCCATATGAATATTAATTAATTTAAAAATAATTGATTTTTGACCGAATTTTATATACAAATTTATAATGGTAAATATGTGATAATGATAAAGTTTGACATGTAATTGATAAATTGATAAATCAATTTAATGATGAGTTCATTATTTAGTATGTTTTACTATCAATATTTAACCATTACAACAAGCACCGACGGATCCATAAATTTTGGTTGATGGGGACAAAAAAAATTGTTTAAATATTTTGATTGAAAAGATATTATAAATTTTAATAATACATGATTATAATGACAAATAAATTTAAATTACGTAATTTTTTTTATAAATATAATTTATTTCTTATTAATTTTCATATTATAAAAGATATTTAATGATATTTGTATTATCAATATCATCAAATATAATCTTAAACATTAAATCCACCATAACTACAATGAATTCTAAAAGTTCAATTCACCAAAAATTTTAACAATTAAAAAATGACACTTATTATATATAAAATTAAATACTTGTTCACTCACTCGTCATTATATGAATACTTTATTTTCTTTAAAATTAATGATAGAAATTTTTTATATTTTATTAATAAGATTAACGATATACCTATACTTTTTAAAAAATAAAATATTAAATTAAAGATTTTTTTTTACAAATTTATAATTTTAATTAAAGAGGAGAAATATTTATAATAAATTCTAGAAGAAAAATTGAAATAACTTAAAATTAAACAGAAAAAAACATAAAATTATGGTGCATAATAAAATAAATTAATGAGACCAATTAAATTTAATGGGGCTATAAAAATGATATGTTAATAGTATTAAAGACAAATAAGATTATCACTAGTAGTTAATATTAATATCCAAAGACACGATATTGATTGTGCACTAGATATATTGAGATGAGTTATGTCATTATTTAAACATATTAATGATTCAAATTTTGAGTATATTTATAGTGTTTATTTTGTTCTATTTTCAGTTACAATTACTTCGATCTTTGCTAATCTAAGGTCGGTTTCAGTCTTTAATGGGGAAAACTTTAAAGACTAAAAAGAGAACATGAAAATTGTTCTTGGTTGCATGGATCTTGATATTGCATTAAGGATTGAGCAACATTTTTTTCCTACGAAATCTAGTACTTCTGAACAGAGGAAAGATTATGAGAAGTGACATCGCTCCAATCACACGAGTCTCACGATTATTAAGCGTAATACTCCTGAGGTCTTTTGGGGTACTATCTTGGAAGAGATAACAAATGCCAAAAAATTTCTTGCTAAATTTGATAAGCGTTTCTTAAAAAGCGATAAGGCAAAAACAAGTAATCTTCTTCAAAAGTTGATTTCCATGAAGTATCGAGGCAAAAGAATTATAAAGGAATACATTACGGGCATGTCAAACATTGTTTCAAAACTTAAGACACAAAAGTTTGAAGTGTCAAAAGACTTACTCATTCATTTAGTATTATATTCTCTTAAGGTGCAACAAACACAAGAAATGGGGGTTTCAATTGGGCTTCAAGTAATATAGATTTTTGCAACCCAAAACAAAAGCTCAAAATAATGAAAATAAAGATAAAATATTCAAGGATTTTTATTCTGATTCACCGTTAACAAGGCTACCTCCAATCCACTCACTTGAGTGATTTTGCCTTAGAAAATGACTTAATCCAATAATCAATCTGTTTACAAAAGCAATGACAACCTGTCACTAATTTCTTAAGAATTTTGATCCAACTGGCCCCCTAAGAAATCTCATAGTCATTGACTTCTTAAGATCCTGACCAACCTAGTCGCTTAAGGAGATTTAATCCCCAATAACTACCTGTTATTGACTTCTCAAGAGCCCGACCAACCTGGTTGCTTGAGGAATATAATCAGAGTTACAATAACAAGTTTTGTGTTTACAAGATGCTTCAAATAAGAAAATACACAAGTTTAAACCAAGTTTTAGACTTAACGTGAATATTCAATGAGTTTTTTTCGTTCTAAGTGCATAAGTGTGATCAGAAACACTTCTTATTTTTCTATAAACGTATCATGAGTTTAAACTTTGATGAAAGTTCAATGCGTGTATGTCAATCTTCTTATCTTTAATCTTCAAAGACCTTTTTATATAGAAGCAAATAAATTCGTTAGAGGATTAATTTGAAATATCCTCAATGTATTCGTTGTATGAAGTTCACTTTATATGCATCAATAGAGTGACACTTGTAACCGATAGTTTGTGAGGATTATGGGACGTGGAAGACTTCTTTTGGCATAGAATACAATATTTTACGCAGAAAGTAGATTTGCTTTTATACTTCTGTCACATCAAACAATGTTGTAAAGAGACACATGAATAGATGGACCTAATAAATATGTGTTAATCTAAGTATAGATAATAGTTTGATTATGTGCTTGTTAACTCAACTTTAATAAGCCTAAAAAACATAAGTATCATTAGGTTAAGTATAATGTTTAGTGTGTTCGCAGGCTGGTTTGGTTCGGTTTCAGGAGAATCCGATGTCCAAACTGATAAAAAATATATATGAATTAGTTTGGATTGAATTTGCACGTTTTTGTGATAAAACCCAAACCGAACCGAACCGATAAACAATGAATTAGTTTGAGTTTGATTGATCGAATATGTTAGAAATAAATATGCAAAAATATTTTTTAAAATATCTAATTTACCTCAACTATTTTTCTAAAATAATATAAAATTTCTAATTTTTTTCATTTCTTCATATTTGTTGTGAATATCAAAATTGATGTTTCATTTTTTTTCTTGAAGTTAAATATATTATTCTAGTTTCCATGATAATGATGATATATATTATACTAATTAATTATGATTAGTTTTGGTAGATGGGCTCGTAGGTAGAATTTTAGAAATTCGTTGTCCGAACCAATTATCACTGGGTTTCATTAGTTTGATTTGATTTTTGCACGAACATAAAAAATGCTCGAACTAAACACTGTGATTTGGTTTAAATTTCGATTTAGTTCAAATTTAATCGAACTAATAAACACCCCTAATAATATTTATTGTGTTTCACATCTATATCGATAGAATTAAAGTTTTGTCTTAACTTATATTTACAAAATAGACTTGTAGTTATGTTTTTCCCTATACACATTGATATTGATATTAATTGATGAAGGTGATACTATATATGTATTTGTAGTAGTTTGTTAATGCAAATACAATCACGAATTAATAACGACAACAAACCAGGCTGGTACTTACCACCAAGACTATGTCTCAAATCTATATATTAATAATACATACTATGCATGGAGTATGAAACCAAACTTTAAGATACATACTATACATGGATTATAAAACCATACTTTTAAGAAGAGAATTTTGAAAGATGAGTAGTTATGGGGCCATGTTTATATCGTCTGTACAAATGCAATTTAAAGATAACACTAAAAAGGAGAGTAGGCAAAGACAGAAACTGGTCCCTCGTTTGTTGATGCCCAAGTAATGGACTAGTATATGAATTATAATAGACCACTAATTAAACACAAGATATTGCATTTATGTATTATATATAATACCCTAAAAAATTGTATTATAAATACATTCATCATTAAATATAATTAATTACTTTCATAATGAGATATGTTTACTTGTAATTGTTATTTTTACAGTGTGTGGACATTATTTAATAACATATTTATCTAAATTCAAATAAGTTTTTATGTAATACTTCGTATTAAATAAAATGCTCTAAATAATGTTAGTTGAAATCAATTGAATTCCAGTGTGCTCTGAGAGATCTATTGAGATAATTAGAGTAACTGATGAACTCAGAGTTGATTTAATTAATATTATTCGACTCTGAGGTTTTATTAATTAGTACATTAGATACATTTTAGATAACCTCAATTTTAGACATTAAACCAAGTTAATCTTACTAACTTTAATGATATTTTTCTTATATTATTTCCTTCTCTTTTCCTTTCATTTTGCAAGATAGAGAGAAAGATAGTAAGTTAGAGAGAAAGATAGTAAGTTAGAGAGAAAGAGGAAAAAGAAGAGAAAGAAGAAGAAGGAAATCCTAGAGGAAGAAAACTTGGAACTTCATCATTTCTTCATCAAATCATCTCACAATCATCATTAACAACTTCATCATCTTGTATAGAGGTGGGTTCTATGCA